TACATATACACATATATACATAAATACATATATACATAAATACATATATATATATATACATACATGCACATATATACACGTGAACATGTACATGTACATATACATATACATATACATATACATACATACATACATACATACATACATACATACATACATAGATAGATACATACATACATATGTGCATACATGCATGCATGCATACATACATATTTGTATATTTATGCATACATATATATATATATATGTGTATGTCTGAATGTCTGTATGTATACACAGATATATAGACATATATGTTGTAGTATATTATAGTATATTGTCGCATATTATAGTGTGCTGACTGATGAGAACGCAGTAAATGCCGGTGCGGGCTTGCATGCAAGGCTTTCTGCAGAGCGGGGTGGCAGCCCTCGACACCTTCTCGGAGGATGCTGTGGAAGACGAGGGAGACGTAGACTTAGAGATGAGCTCAGAGCTTAGTGACTCCGGGCCTGCTCATCAGATGCCGATGATCTCCGGTCTCTGCCAAACCCGAAACGCGGGGTCTCTGCAAGGTCTGGATGCTGGTGGTCATGCCCGCGAGGAAGAGGAGGAGGACCATGAGGCTGGGTGCTTTTAGTATAATCTACCTATTCCGTTTTCTTAATCGCATATAGTAAGAACCATAATCAGAGATATTCATCATCACAGTCATGAACATAATCATAATCATCGTAATTGTAACCAAAATCCTAATAAAACCACATTACTAATATTGGTAACAATAACAAGAAGAATAAAAATAACAATAATAGTAAGTAAACTCTGAACCAATAATGGTAGTGACAGTAATCATGAGCACATATGTATATGGATAGATAGGTATAATTCTATAGCAAACTGTACTAGAGTTCACTGCACTACATTACACTATGCTATATTCTATTACATTATATTATATTATGTTGTAGTATCATACTTTTCTACAGTGTAGTATACTACTTTATGATACCAAAGTACAAACTAACATGTTAAATCATATTATAATATTGTATATTGTATTGTACTACGTTAGATTATCTTCGGCTTTGTTCTGCTCATGTCAGTTATACTACACTATACTACGTCATGCTATATTGTACTGTATTGTACTAGTTTCCTTGCAGATGCATTTTTGCCACGTGCAAGCGCTGGAAAAGGCAGTGGAAACCGGTGCATTGGATGGAGGCCGCAGCCCGGGGTGGGGCAGAGGGTGGGTCTGCCTGTATAGGATTTAGAGTTCAGGGTTTAGGGTTTAGGATTTAGGTTTCAGGGTTTAAGATTTCGGGTTCAGGGTCTAGGATTTCGGGTTCAGGATTTAGGGTTCTGCAGTTTCCCGATAGCATGAGAAGGCGACGAGCACGGCGAGGAAGCCGAGGAAGCCGAAGAAGTTGAAGACGATGCGGATGCTGAAGCCGCTCAGACTGTGCAGCTCGAAGCAGTCTGCAGCTGAACAAACGAAACATCCCAGGTTGACTCCGAAGATGAAGGTGACGGTTCCGAGGACCGAAATGCCGCTGTTCATATCATGGCCTTTGTTGAACTTACCGCATGGTACCTGTGAGGAGGACGAGGATGGTGAGATGGTGCCATTCAAGTCGGAGCAGGGTGTTGTGCTGGCCCAAGAGGGCATGGAGTCAGGCCAGGCCTTCGCTACTGCCGCTACTCAGAGCCTGAAGCACATTGGGATGACTTGTTTGCACAGTCTCCGGCGTGCAGTCGTGGCGCCGGCGCCGGCGCCGCCGCTATCTTGGCAAGGAGAAACTCGTTGCACACGCGCAACCTTTGTGATGGCTGGGACGCACTTAGACATGAGGTCGCCGCAGACGTGCGCGCAGAAGACGTGCCAGGCTTGGCGAGTCGTCGGCAAAGGTTCTGAGTGGGGTCTCCGCTGAATCTTGCGTTGTGTGCTCAACCAGAGTGATAATAGGCGCAGACGCGCCCGCCGCAGACGCTCTCGGCGCAGACGCACGCTGCCGGCGCAGGCACGACCGGTCTTTCTCGGCCCGTTGGGTCTCCAGATACCGCAGATGCATCTCTCAGGTGTCTGCGTCATGTCCCAGCGGGAAGCGACTCTCGGCAAGAGATGCAAGATACCCCTAACCTCCCAGGTACCTACTATATAGGGTACTAGAGCCCCTAGGGCCCTATATAGTAGGTACCTGGGGGGTTAGGGTACGGTGCAAGATGCTGTCTTTGCGTGGAGAGCGCTGGTTGGGTTTCCAAGGGCTCCTCTCGTGCTCCTGCTATCCGGACGACTTCAGGGAGAAGCAGGGCCATTGGACTGACGTCCGCCATCACTGCAAGCGGGTCTGGAGGAGTGGCGACAGTTGCACTGCCAGAGGTGCCTGAGATCAAGTAGCACTGCAGCATCGCGTCAAGTTTCATAGGATTCCCTAACCCCCCAGGTATACCTACTATATAGGGCCCTAGGGGCTCTAGTACCCTATATAGTAGGTACCTGGGAGGTTAGGGCTTATGTTCGGGTACGCTCAGGTGGATATGCCCAGGCTTTGTGCGGCAAGCTCGACGACCCGGCAGCTCGCGAACCCTGGAAAGCCTAGCCCTATTAAGGGTTTAGGGTTTAGGATTTATTGGGTTTAGGGTTTAGGATTTATTGGGTTTAGGGTTTAGGATTTATTGGGTTTAGTGTTTAGGATTTATTGGGTTTAAGGTTTAGGGTTGTTGTGTGCTCTTGGGTTGGTCTCTCTGATCGCCACAGACCTATGAGAGCACCGAGGACTGGGAGGACCGTTCAGCCGAGGGCTGGTACTGGTCCGACAAGGAGGATGGTAGTGTGCTATTGTAGTACATGATCTGCTCTGATCTTCGATCATGGTATATTGTACTGTATTATACTACATTATAGTTTTGTAGTATACTATACCATAATATTCCATAACAGCTATCATATGATGATACTTTGTCGTCTAGTATTAGCTTATTATACCAGATGTGTCCGGTCTTTGATTTAAAGGTCCTGGTTTGTTCGGTGTTGCGTAGTTCCCTCCTGCCATGTGCCGCAGGAAGGTCCTGTGGCAAGCTGTCCTTCTCCGAAGGTACTGGTTGCTGTGCCGTAGAATGGTAACCCTTACTCTAAGGGGACCTACCTGTATCATTTTGGGGGGTTCCTTTTCGTATTATAGTAACATGTACCCCAAATCCTAATATTCTAATTATTAAGGCCCCTTATATATAATACAGTCTAATCATACTATCATATACTATAACAGACCATACTATGCTATACCATAATAGACCATCCTACACGATTTAGGGCCTTTCGGATACCGCGAACAACTAAGGTTGGGTGCTGGTGCCAATCGCACAGCGGCTCCGAGAAAGAGTGCGCTCGACTCTGGACGGATGGCAACAGCTGCCATGCCCGCACGGGCCCGGGAAGAGTTGTCAGAGGCCCTTAGGGGTTAAGGGTTTATGGGTTAGGGGTTTAGGGTTGGAGGGATTGACCTGGTTGGCAGTTGGAGAGCGGGTCACAACCCGGCTTGGGCATTGACTCAATGTTCAGACCTTACCACGCTATGCGCTGTACCTATCCGCCTATACCCGTCTTTTTTCCATCTCACGCACTCCGTCCCTCAGCGCTTTTGTTTCTGGCACAGGAGGACGAGCGAGACTTCTTAACCGTACTGGTAATATAGGGGCCTAGATAATTACCAATGCTATTTGGGGGGGCTCCATATTATAAGTATAGTAGAACATACCCAAAACCCTATTCTACCTGGAGATTCGTTTTGATGTTTCTTTTTGTGCGTTTTGTCCTTCGTCTGTGTTGCGGATGTTTCGGTGGCTTTCTGTGCGTATAGTGCGCATATTTAGATAACTGTGCGTGAGCAGAGGAAAGTGTGCGT